TGGCGAGGATCCAAGGTCTGCTGGGGTGAATGACCAAAGCCAGTGTATGGCTAAGGACTTTGTATGGTCAGAATCCCTAGTAGCTTATGGATCTCTTGCTGCCCAACACTGGGGGATCCTTGGTCTAAATAAATGAGGCATATATATATTTATTTAACTAAAACTTCTATGGGAGTTACTCCCCTTGCATCACTATTTCTGTAACTATTTCATGTACCATTTCTTTCTATTTCTTTCTATATATAGTTTATATTTGTTTGTAATTCTGGCTAGGAGAGGACTTATATAGGCATAGCCTGTTGTCCAATCCTTTTGATTTTTCAATAAAATTTACTGAAATGAAACACAATGTATGAAATAACATTGACATCACACAAGGGAATGTCTGAACAAGGTTATACACTGTACCGTCTGTATATAGGTCGGTTTTACCCTCTAGCTCATACACAATGTAGGAAATAGCATTGACATCACACAAGGGAATGTCTGGACAAGGTTATACACTGTAAAGTCTATATATAGGTTGGTTTAACCCTCTAGCTCATACACAATGTATGAAATAGCATTGACATCACACAAGGCAATGTCTGAAACAAGGTTATACACTGTAACGTCTATATATAGGTCGGTTTTACCCTCTAGCTCAAACACAATGTATGGAATAGCATTGCATCACACAAGGCAATGTCTGAACAAGGTTATACACTGTACCGTCTATATATAGGTCGGCTTTACCTTCTTTATGATATACAATGTATTATGTACATCTGAACAAGGTTATACACTACACCAGGTAAAGTCCATGTTAAGGTTGGTTTTATCCTCTACACACTATACAATGGGTCAGGAGTGCTCAGAACCAATCATGCACATTGTTCACCTGTACACTCGATGCTGTACATGTAAAATACACAGGGAATGTCTGAACAATGTAATACTCTGTACTATGTACAGTTCGTATATATTTTACACGTATACACTATATCCTATACACTACATGAGGACATTTCTGAACCAGGGAAAGACATGTCTGCACAATACAGACTATATATATACAATACAGCGTACACACGTACAATACAGACTATATGTATATAATACAGCGTACACACGTACAATACAGGGTAGTGTTGAACAACTATTTGATTGTTAACGAAATGCTTTTAAGGAATATTTTACTATTTCGCCAAGGGTTACTTTGCTCACCGAGGTACATGTGGGTATCACATATGTCAAAATGATCTATATACACCTTTTGAAATTATGACTGGAATCAGATGTAGAAGGCATGTACTTTCAATCTATTCCTGTATGTTACACTCAAATATATTGTTATTCCTGTGTTTATGCCAATAAGTACGACACGACGAAGGTATAGGTATCAGTTTGATCTATATTCGTTGGGTATATAGATGATATATTCATGTGATACATCAGATACAGCATTGAAACAATTCAACATACAAATAACATTTGGCTTGAAAACTAACTCAGCTGTTACCCTTATACAAATTTTTGATTTACTGAAATTTGTATGAGTCAGATGATGACTGTCAATGAGTAGATTTATATCTTTCTGAGTTGTGGCCACCCTATTCTGGACTTGATCAATGTGCGACAGTGTAAGGTGACCACCAGTATAGATGATTCAGCCGCTGCATGGCCCTCGCTCAACTGGAGGGGGGACTGATATACTGCCGTAATGCAAGTTACAGGAACTCTTCGAGAACACTACGAGACCCTCTCACAAATCCGGAAATCCACCCACCCAGCAGTGAATTCCATCACAGTACATGAGACAGTACCGTGCAAATGTTTTGCAAGAACTTGTGAGATTCTTTATTATGTAATCTTGGGATCTGAATATCTCATGAATCGAATGATGAATTGGTATATGAAATTATTTGAACTTGGGGCAGGAACAGGAACAGAAACTGGGACTGGAACAGGCACAGGAAACGGGACAGGTCCTGGGACTGAAACAGGAACGGGGACAGGCACTGGGACCGGAACAGGAAGTACGTTTACAAAAAGATTTATTTTCCCTGTACCATATAAATGATCATGTTTAATTATGTACTAAACTATCGGTTCTTTTGTTGGGTCGATATCGTTTCTTGTGATGATGTTCATCGTAACTACTAATGTTCTTCGTTACTACTTATACTCATTCCATATGGGAGTATTGATCGTTTCCTTTGTTGATGTTTACCGTTTACCGTGTTTCTGTTCAGTATATCGATATTTCTCCCTGTGGTGATGACTACCGTTTCATGTGTTGGTGTTAACCTTATTACCTGTATACATTGTCCTTTTTCTTTATTTATATTCATCGTCCTTAATTGATATACCGATCAATTTGTTCATGAGTATTGTTCATTTTGTTGATGTGGTTCGTTCCTATGTTGCCGGTATCGTAGGTGTGACCTGTACAAAAACGAGCCCTTGTTTGGTATTGGAGGATAATTTCGACTTTTTCAACCACGAGGTGTGGGAACACGATATTACTACAGGAGGAGGCGGGGTAGGTTGTTCTTGACTCTGATTAAACCTTAAAACGATTAGGTTTACTACTTTAGGTGAATGTAATATTTTCCTTGCAAACACTGCAATTTATATTAATCATTTTTTAAGTATTCGCTTATGGTTATTAACGTAATTGATGAAAATGTATATATTGTTATCTGTGACCTGAACATAAGTCAAAGTATGGCTTGATCTAGTATATCCAACTGTTATCTGTATACTATTTGCACTATTACTATTTGTTTTTTCCTCCACACTAGCATTGGGAGTTTCAATACTACATAAACAATAGATCCAACAGCTATGTCAATAATGGAGTGCTCTACATCAAACCGGTAGGTGAAATCCTTTAGAAAGTCGAAGAATGTCTAGGGGAGACAACTCATGAACCATAAGTCTCTCCTAGATATAGTCTTACTATTAATTTAATCTGCCACGATATGCATTAATTATAATATAATTATGATATATAAATCTCTATTGATGAAAAATTAATTTCGTTTCAGATCGGTTTGGAGAACAGTTCCTCAAGTCAGGAACACTGGATCTTTGGGGTAAGTTATTCAATAATATACAATATTGTAGAATGCTACACGGTACAGTGTCTTATGTCACTTAATTAACTATATACACATCTACATAATAATGTGGTTTACGTAAAGCAACATAGAGAAAATGTTGAAAATACTTTAAGATGATGAACACTTATGTATTCATATCAATGCCGAGAATGTGACAGGATGAAATTAAAAATAGTGAAGAGGATCAAGTCATCGTGCATATGGTTGTACATTACCATTGTTTAGAACTGTGTGACATATAACTAGAACATGCCATGTGTGCGCTCAGTACCCATTATCTCCCTTGACTAAGAAACTTCAGTATCATCTTTCAAATATTAATTTTGTATTAACATTAATTTGCAGGTTATGATTAACATGTATGAGTTATGATTACATTATTCATTAGAATACTTTCACTTATAAAGGCATCCCCTTTTGTTATATGCTCTGCTATAAGATCAGACGCCTACCCTTCCGCAACACTTGGTCTTAAGACTCCTCGTACTTTGCCAAGTGCATCAATGTAAATCCTTCCTTCGTTCATATTTTGTTTTATCAATTTCTAGTTTAAAATATGACTTTCTTAACATTCAGTATTGTCTTGTTCTATATTAACACGTCAGTTTTTACTGTGTGTTTTGCTTGAGAACTAGAATTATCAATGAAATCAACCAAGAGTTTTCGACAAAAAAATGTTTACAGTAAACGGAATAATCCAGATGACAGCTGTATATATATAGTTAGTCAATTTTAAAAAGATAATTCGAGTTACCCATAATAGAAAAGATTTGTCAGTAATAAACCACAAATTATTGTAGCTCTCTATTCTTTCTAGATATACATTGATATATGATTGTTATATTTAATTGAAAGAAATTATTTATATAATTACTTTTTCAAGGTTCCTGTACCAATAACGCCTGGTACGGATGTAGTCGCACTGGGTCCTCGAACAATATCATCAACCCAATACAATCAGCTGGACTCCGCAGCTCAAGAGGCTTCAACTTCAAGTACGGAAAGGTCGAGGTCAGGGCCACCATGCCCGCCGGGGATTGGATATGGCCTGGCTAGTAAATACAAGAAAACATAAATCTAAGAAAAAATAATCGTTGATGCATAGTTGACGAAAAAATACAGTCTGTATATTTAAGGACAGGAGGGAAATGAATAAGACAATATTTTTTTCCATGTATTCAATTGTGTTTATAATTATGACGCCAATCATCAAAATGAAGGCAAGAAAAAAGAGAAATAGAAACAAGTGTGTTATAATAATTATTTTAAATATAATATCACTAAGGAAGTTTCTTGGGAAGGGGAAACTCTCGAGCAAGAAAGCTGGGACTTTCTAATTTTAGACTTTGTCCAAAGATACGAAGGATTTTTAACATTCTATATTGATTATAATGGTAACATATTCGCTCAAAGGCATTCCATGTCTTAAGGATAGTTTCCTAAGTAGCATTCCCATTTAAGAATTTATCACGTTTATGAATCGTTTCTATGGCATCATCTTCAATAATTCGAGTTCAAATTTTGTATCCAAACTCTTTTACATACATACCGTTCTCGTTACAGAGATACTCCCTTTATTTCTAGTTTGATTGAATAGCAAGAGTTGATAAGAATTATTATTTCTGTACAACGGATATTTCATAAACGCACAATGACTTGTATTATTAGCATGTAATTCCCAATTTAATTTTGTTCTTTGTTACAAGTCCTGCTATCGGTAAGCAGTAGCACGCACATGTGACCAAAAAACAGCTTCGACTGCTCAAGCGGCGTGTAAGAAAAATGTTTCCCGTTCTTACTTGCGTGAACCTCTATAATCCTTGTTTACATTTGTGTTCCTTTAGGATAAGCTGTTACGTTTAGGTCATTACGTACATCTCGTTATTTTCGTTTTTCGTTTTTTAACATTATCTGATCAATAATTAACCATTTCAAACGTCATATTTCTGTTGTTTATTCTAGCAATATGGATGTTACAGACACAATATGCTTATGGCCAATGGCCAGCCTCCGTTGAAATTGATATTGTGGAGAGTCGGGGTTAGTTTGATGAAGGAGGTCAATAACCACAGTTTTAATCACAATTTACTGATCGCGTATTGGCTGGACCAGGAACACTGTATTATGTGCTGTAAGCTTACCTGTATAAGTACACACCTAATATAGCCCATTAAGGCTGCTAATAGATTATACATTAGCGAAATTATTCTTCAGATATAAGGACTCATTTTGTAAATCAAATTTCTGAGTACTTCTTTAGTCAGAGCTGTGTGTACCGCGAACGGCATTAAAACAGTTTTTAGTACTCCGATTACGTTTAACAGAATTAAAAGTGATTGTCTCGTAAAGAATGCTTGACATAAATAATATGTCATTTTTCATTGCGTTGCAGACATAAAAATATTTCTTATTTTTATTTTATTGGAAATATATCCACTCCGTTTCTTAGCGTTCTATCTAATTATTAAACTGCATCCCTATCATTGTTGTTTAGTTCAGGAACACAATACATTGTTAAGCTTGAGAAATTCTACCATAGGTAAAAAAAATGTAACGTAAGAGAGGAACATAACATTTTTCGCACACAGCTATACCATCTAATTTAAATTTAAAAATTGATAAGTTAAATATCTATTTATACCGTAAACAGGAACAAAGCCAGTTAGCTTGATCACTTTTTTATATAACGTAATCATATTACGTAATTACGTAAACGTCCACTATCCTATTTACTTAAGGCGTCCATAAAAAAGTATCAACAGGGCCCCGTTTCTAATATAAAGCTGAAGTAATTTAAAGAAAACCTGAGTTATTATACTAAAAGTGTGATGTAACATTGCATTAACAGGTAATCGTAACTACCAGAGCTCTGGCGGTACCCACAAGGGCGTGGACAGCTTCGGCAGTACGTTACATTACGGCCCCAGTTACGCCTACAACCGCTGGTATACGGCACATGTCTCAAAGTAAGTGACTGCTTGTTTATCTACAGGACTCTTGCGACTTTCTTGATAGCTGTGTGAAAATATGTTCCCGTCTTTTTTCAATTTCATGTATGTGATATTTAAGCGAATCATACGATAACACTTTCAGAGGACAATAGAAGTTGTCATATTACATCTACAGTACATAGACAACGCTTATGTTACATGCTGCACGTGTGCGAATACATACTTTCTGATTATTGTTTCTAAGGTCCAAACGATCATGTCATTACATTGTAATTTAAGAAACGCTGTCCCAGTTTAGGCGGAACACTTTTATATTTTATCTTGTATTGTATTTATAAAAGTTATGCAAGTTACGGCATTATTTCACAAATGATTCATTGAAGCTTATGTCATGCCGGAAAAGTTTCAATGGTAATGGGATTCTGAATATCATTTGGACAGAGATAAAGACGCCAAAGTCGGTGAAAAAACAAATGTTTCTGGTAATTACAGTTAAATCATGTTTAATCATAAACTAGATTTGTGTTGCAAAACTCTGAAATCTTTATTTCAGAACTATTAACAGTGGAACACTGGCAGATGATTTTCACACGTACGGAATTGAGTGGACAGCGGATCATATCATGTAAGTGAGCCATGGTAATAATATAAAGATACCATTTATTTAGTAAATATTTGTAATAGTGCCAGTATTTATTATTTTATTTCGAAATTGAGATTTCTCTAGCAAATATTTGTTATAGTATCAGTATTTATTATTTGATTTAGAGATTGAGATTTCTCTAGAAAATATTTGTAATAGTATCAGTATTTATTGTTTGATTTAGAAATTGAGATTTCTCTAGCAAATATTTGTAATAGTATCAGTATTTATTGTTTGATTTAGAAATTGAGATTTCTCTAGCAAATATTTGTAATAGTATCAGTATTTATTGTTTGATTCAGAGAGTGAGATTTCTCTAGCAAATATTTGTATTAGTACATTTTGTACCAGTATTTATTATTTGATTTAGAAGTTGAGATTTGTACTGAATCACTCTATTCATTGACTAAATACCTAGGTTTTTCTTCGATGGCGTAGAAACGTTAGACGTGTCCCCTCCGTCTAATGGAGGCTTCTGGAAATATGGCAATCTAGATCAGACAGGTGTCGAGAACCCATGGCGTGCTGATAGCTAGATGGCGCCATTCGACCAAAAGGTAGGTAGATTGTAGACAAGAGGTGTGAAAACAATGTCAAAACAATGAAAACGCTATATTAAAAAAAAAATTCACATTTGTTTTGAAGCTTTGTATAAAACGTACCGCACATATTAACAAAAAAAATAAAAAAATAAAAAAAATAAAATGAGCTGTTACGTCAAACAAATAACATACAGTTTAAATGTGATACTACAGTATCTGGTTCTTGTTATCCTAGTTCCACCTGATCATGAATGTAGCGTTAGGAGGAGTAACCGGTTTCTTCACGGACGCTGATATCAACTCACCTCATCCCAAACCGTGGAGTGATTCGTCCTCACAAGCATCAACGCCAAAAATAGTTGGTACCCTACATGGAACCCTTATCAGCGTAGTGGGGAAGACGCTGCCATGAAAATGGACTATGTGAAAGTGTGGCAACTGGACGCCACCGTGTAGTGTCCGTTTACAATATGTTATGGTTTGAAAAAAAACGACTTTAGTACTGGTGTCGCAGGTGTACAAACAATGTATCTTAAACGTGTGTAATTGTGTCTTTGACTTAATAAAATGCATAATGTATACAATCTGATCACGTTTCTGTGTTTCAATGGTTCCGAGTACCAGTCAATGATAAAGATACGGAACTGGCTCGTTTGTATTGAATTCAAAATTGCACAAGAATCCGTATAAATAACCTTGTCTAGTGCTGCCTCTGCTAGGTGCTCAACCACACCCTAATTCAAACTTCTGAGTATAATTTTATTACGGTAATATAAGTGTAACAGTCGTATTGTGATACTCAAACGTCCAGAAAAGAAATTATTAAATGTAGCTTTCAAAAAAATTTAGAAGATGTATTTTTTTCAGACCCAAGCAATCCTCCTTAAAATGTTTCACTCAGATTTTTTTACTTTTCGAATCCCTACACTACCATGTCTCTAGGTACTATTTTGTATGAACGTCTTCTGTCTCTGATTATAGGGGAAAGCATATGTCACAGTGAGGGTTACAGTGACACTTTGCTATCTCAATATGTCCCTGTACACCAAATCTGGTTACTCCAGTTAAAATAGTATAGAAGATATTTCCCGGACAAACATCTCGGACGGAAGGACAGAAGGACAGAAGGAAGGACCGACGAAGTGCAAACCTATTGTCCCCCAGTACACTAATAACCTGAAGATGAAATCGTGAGTTCCTTGTTTTCAATATCTTTGTTCAGTTCGGTTGCAAATAGTTTGCAACATATTGTAGGCATTCATGTGGGATCAAAGTGTGCTCCTCTTCAGACCGATACATCCTTTAATATCACTTTCAGATATATCGACGATGTAATATCTTTTAGTAACAGAAATATTGACCACGGCGATCGTATATGCCATCATGAAGTTGAAATCAAGTATAATACAAATTATTCTCCTTCTGCCACTTTCTTCGTCCTACAGGGGCAGCTTGTTACTTGTAATTAGCTGTACAATTTCGATGTTCGTATCATCAACGCCCCCTCTCTTCATGGTAACAACAATGTTTTCTGAACATACAGTGATTACGTGCTGCAGATGTTTGTTATTCAAGAGACTAATCCGAATATCATGATTTGAACTGCTTACTGACAAACTTATACCACAGAGATTCGGAAGATGCAGGCTGATAAAGACTATGAGCAATTTGATTGTCCCCTTCACATGGTATCATGGAAGTGTTACGCTATTTCTTTGAAGATGCTTTTTGTTATGTTCATAAGCGTACGTTCTGGTTCCGCGGTCACTACACAGCTTCTCGCTATGAGGACGTGATACTCGGATTTGACGAAGATGTACATCATGGGTGTAGCCGATGAAGCGAGCGGAAGTTTCGATATAAATTTACTGTTTACTTATATTGTGACTTAGTTTTATCATATCGAAAAAAATGGTTAAATTGAAACTTCTTATGTCAATTTGGTTTCTTACGTTGAATCGTGAAATCACATTACAGTTTGATAGAAACTACAGAGTTAAATAACCCTTCGGATGGTAAGCTGACATAAATCATCATAAGAATCCTACGGGGTAGGTGACACAAAACATATTGATAGTCCTGTCGGAAAGGTAATACAAAATACTTAAATTAGTAAAACACTCGTCATGATGTCTCCCGTCAATTATATATAAACAACAACATGTAGGTCACCACAGATCTAAGACAATGCTCTTATCATTAACATTTCATGACATGAATATGATGAACGATACAAATGCTACACTGGATCTCAACATTTTGATAAATGTTAAGTATATAAACAAATAAATATGACTACACAAATGGTTAGATACACCGATTTTTGTTATCGGTCGAACTCTGGCCATGACCCTCATTGTACTTAAACTAATCCAAGGTTTCATGTATTTGTGTATTTGTGCACCCTTTTTACACGATGTTTATAAGTGATGGTAAATGTGATTTTCTGTAGAACGAACTATTCTCATTATCGCTAGCTAAATAACTATCTCCAAATTGCCTCCTAAAATTCAAGTAACGTTTGTTCATTAAACCTGTCGATCTAGATATCGCTGTAGTTATGAGGCGTTGATAGCCTGTGGATATGTATTCAACGTACGGAACGCCAAAGCTGCTTTAAGGATACAGACAGTATTTGGTGATTCGTTATTATATTGTTTGCTTCCTTAAGACAGCCGTCGAGTTCCACAGGAGACACATATTGGTTTCCTCAGAACACAGGGTGTTATAAAATATCTTCTGAGAAAAATATTTAGTGTTTATATATTATAAAGCGCAATAAGTCATAAAAGAGTACTACATTGTAGTTAGTTGATATATCATGATATTTGATATGTTTTAATTAATTCAGATGATTCCACAATAAATCAAAATCACAATTTCACAAAAAGATATGCCACCGTTCTTGTTTCCTTTGAAATGTGTATATTTGACTTTACAAAAAAATAAACCATTAAAAGATATTGCGTTTTGTAGATATTTTATGCTAAATAAATCGTATTCTCGTTTTATTTGTAAACGATATAGACATAGCGAGCAGAGAACTTGTCTAAGCGTGCTGACAACAAGAGTATCAGGATCAGAACATCAATGAACACTTCTCATAAGGATGTCTTTCCCATTTCCACTGTTTTTATATTAAACGGGGGAGTCTTTAACCTGCCACCTTATCCATTGAAAAGATGTTTTGATTGTAAGATGTATTTTAAAACACTTTGTCAAATCGTTTCAGCTCATGCGAGATTAACGTATAGTCTGGTATTGGTATTTCTGTAGCTTATCCATATCTCTAGCTGTTGAATTTAAAACATGGGTCGTACCGACAAGGATGATTGTGTAAAAAGGTGATCTTTAAGTACTGTACATTCCTGTTACACGTCCAGTAGCTCTGGTACATAGCTATGTTATCTTTATGTACTGAGAAGCCGTAATATGAGTAAACATCGCATTAACTTCAACCTCTAACGTCACTGTACACAAAAATGGACACATTTTAGAGAAATATCAATGTGCATTATACATGTACCATACTATCAATTCCAAAAATATTAATTAATTGTTCAAAGTATTTAACATATTTCTTTTCGTTTCTGATACAGGTGGTTTTTCTGGCGAACTACTACCAGGGTTAGGTAGGCCATTGAACAGGTGTTACTGTACCCTAAAGGGTACACTTTGGTATTTTGGCTAATATTTGGGGATAAACAATCAATATCAGCAGAATATTATACATGGTTCACATATTTCAGAATCAAAGGGAGTTCTGATTAAATATCTTCTCGAAAATAGTGTTAGTTTTGATGAAATAGATGTTTGTAAATGATATTCAAATAAATAGCATAAAACGGCACGAAAATCACTAAAAAAGCAGTTTTTGGTAATTATCCTTACCTTTCAATTGTCTATGTAACAATAACCAGCAGTCAGAAAGCGTATATACAGTTAAATTGTCATAACTATAAAAAATACTTTTTTTCACATTGCTTGACAGTTTCCTGAGCCGTTTTGCCACAAGTGTCCCGTTTTGGTAACTGTGATGTTAATGTTTATGACGTCACAAAAAAATAATATACATGTGTAAAAATGGGATACTGACCCGTACATGTTCAATGTTCTGATTTGAAAAGTGCGTCCACATATCGTTGGCGTGTCGTTTGCGCCGATAGATGTATTTCTACCCAAAAAGCTTTTTCCATCGGTCGTATACCATCGGTCTGAAATGAAACATTTAACAATCCCCCGAACAGTCTTTTGTATTGTGTACAAAATAATTACACAACTATCACATGAAATCACTTCATAAAGTCGGACGTTACAGCGGGATTGCGGGAAGGATAGGAGAATTTACCATATGTATGATTTATTTATCTATTATTTTTTTATTCATTTTTGTGAAATAGTTTTTGAATCCTGAACGACTTGAGCACTTTTATTATGATATTTTTGTGCCAATGACTAACTAGTTTAGTTAACCTATTTTTCGTGCAAAAGAATAAGAGCATTTATGCACACGCAGAAAATCCTATGTATCGTGAATCTAGAAATTATATTTCAGGTTTGAAATGCATCTTTTTAACATTTATGAGGGTATGCAAACGCGCATAATGGAATACGTTCTGTGTTACGGATCTGTGTTGCATACCCTCATAAATGTTAAAAAGATGCATTTCAAACCTGATATTTACATTCTATTACATCCACTTTTATTATTTGAAATTAAGTTTTTTTTCACGTTAAAAAGCAAAACACCGGCAAGAAAACAACATTAATTGAACAGTCTGTTTCCCGGGAAAGATGATGCGTTGTCAACGGTGACGAAATACAGCTAGTGCAGATTCTAGAGGACAGTGAGTTGAAAAGGACATGTTAAATGATGTGGCTGGAGTTAGCACACATCGTATTTTAGACGCTGAATACGCGTACTTGAATTTAAGGGTGATTTCTTGTTGATAATATATAAAAAAGGATTATTAAAATATATTTACTTGTATTTTCTTTTGGTTTGTTTGTGTGTTTGTGTGTGGGTGTTTTTTTTTTTTTTTTTTGGGGGGGGGGGGGGGGGGGGGGGGGGGGGTGTTGTCAGAGGTTATGCAACAGTACATGTAGTACTGTTAATATTACTACACAATTGCTTATATTTAATCAGGCAAACAATTTAGTTGATACTGTTATCTAGTGGCACTGCCACACAAATGTAGATATTACTTAATATTCGCATATTGAGCAGAGTGAGTCGCTTATCATATATTGCTTTAGGTTATACTGAAGTGAAATAAAAACGCCTTATAAGCACTTTTTTCCTTATGAAAGGTTGAAATAGGTTATCACATTTATTTGATTTTAAACCCCATACCCGTTGTCCTGATATCTATATCAAAGAAACATCTGTAACATGCAGAGGGTATGTGAACATCCACTGACATACATATTGACCTGCTGTAGGATTCCAGAGTCTCTATAGCACATGGCGTCATGGCTTCATATAAAAGGAAATGCTAGGCAAATGTATTAAAGCTGATAGGAGAACCAAGGAAGGTAGATATTCATTTGTCAGCAAAATATTTCTTCATTTAGATTATGAGAAATGATTTCCAGCGCATTTAACTCAAACATAAGTTGACGTTTGTAAACAGGTTTAGATTATGAAATCAGTTCATAAATCTTAACATTATGTGATACGATTTGAAGATAAATTTAGTTTGAAAAAATCAGTGGAAAGCACAAACTATTTAATATGTACTTAGATACTCCGCTATTGTGTTATCGTATTTGCAGCTGTGTAGTCTTTTGTGTTGTGTGTTTTATCATGCATTTGTCCTACAGATGAGGCTTCTTGGAGTGGCCCTCTGTGCTACAGTACTTAACGTTGCCTTGTGTATCCAACAAGCAACTATCACCAGCATACAGCCACATGGAATAAGGTTTGTCATTCCAGGTACGTGTTTACAGGGTATAAGAATGTGTTTTTGTTGGTATTTAATGATGAATTATTTATAAACTTGTGTTAAATCTGACTTGCTCGTGAATTGATATTGAAGAGTTTTCAAATTTATAAAGAGTCTTTGTCAATTTCAATATATGCAATGTAGAATAAATAATATCTATGTTTAAAACAGCAGTGCAAACAATATTGTCTTTTATAAACTTGATGACATATACAATCAGAGACTCGTCTTACAGATGGTCATAACTTGTGAAAAATAATCTTCAGACTCTGAAATAGGTGTAATGAGTTCACGTTTACATGTAGTAAAAATTTAAATATAAAAGAACAGGTTCTGTAGAGTGATAGCGGTAAAGTTGAAGCATGACCTCCTTATTCGCCATCTTAAAAGCCGAGTTCAACTTGGATACAAAGTAATAAGCTCAAGGGCAGTTACAGGTTTGACGGAGTTTGAAGATATAGGTGCAACATCCAATAAGATATTTTATTACAATATATTTACGTCAACGAAAACTAACTTTGTGAACTTTTCTGATAAGGTTGTTTTATGATTATATTTAAATTGAATAATAAAATATTAAGGCATGTAAATGGGGTTTTGTTTCAGATGACGGCTTTAGTTTTGTTGCTCTTCACTACAGCATCAATAAGCCCGTTGTAGATGTAGCGGCAGGAGACATAAACGTTGACCTTAGGTCCAAAACCGGTAAGTTAGAAAAATCTACAGAAACTCCATTGTCTTCAAACATAATTACGTGTAAGTGACATACACCTATCTACAGAAACTCCATCGTCTCCAAACATAGTTACGTGTAAGTGACATACACCTATCTACAGAAACTCCATCGTCTCCAAACATAGTTACGTGTAAGTGACATACACCTATCTACAGAAACTCTATCGTCTCCAAACATAACTAAATAAAAATAAACGTTACAGATCTACATTTATTTAATTGACTTTCAAGTTAACAGTATTAGAAATCCATTTACAAATTAACAGATTTTCATTTGATTTCAAACATTATTAACTTCTTATACCCGAATGACATTTGGATATAGTGGATGTTTAACTACATGTACTTCGTTATAGCGTATTTACTGGAGATAACGCTCCAACAAGGTAAACATACCCTGTTTACTAGGAAACAGAGGCGCGGGGTAATTTTACATGGTACTTACTATGTAGGTATCTGCATAAAAATTAATCAGTTGATTGTGCTTATAGATATATACATGTAGACATCATTTCAGTGACATATTTTCAGGGCAAACAAAAACACCAAATACATACAGAGATCATAACAATATACTCGGTGATATTCCGAAAAATTACGTACTGACAATACAAGGAATATTCCATTGTATTTCATATGACATAATTGAAGTTTGCATATTTATCTTCTGTTGGTTCAAATAAAGTAAGCACAGAACTGTTCCCTTTAGCATTTATAGGCTATATGAATGCCAACTGGAAATATGCATATTCTATGAAGAACGCTATTTTGCTTATATAGCCTACGAAGACAAACTGAAAGTTTATAAATTTATATTTACGAATTTTTGAAAACGCAAATTCCATAGAAAGTTTGATAATTTTAGCGTCATTAAGCATTTTACTTAATTAAATTAGTGAATGTATCCTTCATGTGTGATCATAGACGGACATCGGACGAAGAGGGCAGGTGGTATATAAAACGTTACAATTATGATGTCACGATAATGATGAAGTCAATATCGGTCCATTGCATTCATAAATGATATGAATGCCATCAGAATCTGGCAGGGTTATACAGTGACAATGCCATACAGTGGTTGATATTGGTATATGAATGTTATTGTAGGGAACAGCTTTGTGTACGAAGATACTGGTGAGGATCTTCATCCAGGTGACGTTGTCAACTACTGGGTCCTCGGAGTGAAAAACGGACAAGGGGAGCAACTAACCGATCAGTCCTATACAGTACCAGGTATGTGAAGTAACATGGAGGCCATATATATACAGTACCAGGTATGTGGAGTTACCTGGAGGCCATATCTATACAGTACCAGGTAAATGTGCGGGCAGTAAACAGTCGATAAGTCTTATAAAGTACCGGGCATTAAACAACTCACAGATTGTTTCTTAACAGCACCGGGAACACATCGGCTGTGTCAACCAGCACTGGCATACTTTACAACTACACACGTAAGCGTTAACATGTACTTATTGATGTCATATATACTAAACAACAAAATTAAGTATAATTTTAAATAAATATATTGTTGCCAAACATAACACTTCTTTTTAAGCCAATCGCATCATTGCCAGGTAAAGCATCCAAAAAATGCAGTAAAATTAATTGGACGTTTAGTTCAGAAATTGGCCTCCATACATTTTGATGCTCTGAGCGTGTTGCCGTCATGTTTGAATGTGTCGGCAATATGGCGAACCTTTCATTAGCCGTTAGAAATCGCGCGATAGGGATACTACGATTCGGGGCCCAAATTGTCACATGGTGGGTGTTATGAATTGCCTTGACAGCGTTATCGACGTCTAAAACATGTAAACCAACTCCCTGGAGCGGGACGTCCGCGTAAAACGACGTGCGGTCAGAGTTGACGCACGCTCCAAATCGTTTTCGACCACCTACTCATACTGCTCTACAGATCATTGTACCTCACAACAGACCTGTAATCGATCGAACAATTCGCCGCCGTCTTGCAGATGCAATGCCCTATTCTAACTTAACATGATCGCCAGCAAAGACTCATCTGGGCAACAACACATAGATGTTGGACTCGCCAACAATGGGCGGATGTTGCAATTTCTGATGAAAGCAAATTTAACGTTTCGAATCATGATGGGCGAAGACGAGTGTTTTGGCGGAGTGGAGCACGCTTTGCCTTTAATTTTGTTCGTGAGTGCTGCGAATGGAGAGGCGGAAAAATCATGATATGCGAAGGAATAAGTCGTGACCACAAAACATCAGTCGACGTTTAGTGTTGTCCTTTGGAAAACAGTTTTGTGGCAGTAGTTCACAACGATAGCGGACGCACAAGATATTGATATCATTAGTATCGTTTAACTGTATGTAATTGTGACGTCAAGACCATGTACAAAATCGAATGACCCCATCGTTGTTCTGTAAGACTGTATGCCTTTTTGGTAGTTGACGGCAGCCTGATTCTGTGTAATATGGGTCTCCAATAATTAAATTTTACATTTATCGTGATGAAATCAATTATTTAATGCCTGCTATGAAGTGTATACTTACTTTAGCCGGTTAGTATACACAAAGTAACATTGAAACGTGTCTGTAAGACTACAACAATAAAGTTACTGTTGTTAAAACACTAAAGGCTAATCACTATTAACATCGATATCCTGTCCATGCTTATCAATACTTCCGTATATTTGAACAGTTATACTTTTATGCTTAGTTATCTTATTTTTTACACTTATTATCAGTGTAAGTGTACACCATGAGGTCACTAACTTCCTGTCATACATCAATATATACATATAAGTATGTTACCAGGATGTTCTTATGCATAAATAATGAATTTACTCATGTATTTCATGTTAAGTTCCGACACAAAAACCAATAACCAAACAAACTACAACCACGAGAACGACACCTCAGCCAACACCTGCTGTTTCCGGAACTAACTTACACCAGACAGAAACCGGAACTGGATCTTTAACCAGTGGTTCTACCGGAACTGACACATCATCAGGGATAAGCAAGCATGACCTCGACTATCTCAACAGTCTCCAGGGCCAGACTGGGTCAGGAACCGGAACCAGTACTGGGACAGGTGGCGTAGTAAATACAGGAAGTACTGGCACCGGAAGTGCAACTGGGGCAGGTACAGCGTCTGGGACTGGAGGATGTTCATGCCAGTGTAAGCCGACGTTTTCTTTAGTTGCCTATATACATCAGGAAAAAATCAAGGTGTCATTTAATCAAATATGAAGTTATCAATTGTTAAAGTTTTTGCATTAGTTATAAGTTGTATATAAACACGTTAAACTTATTTTTATAAACGCAATTGATACATGTACGTATCTTTATACCAACAAATATTAAAAATATGTATAATCAATCCTGATACGAACAGTTGTTGGTTATTACATGTTACATTTGCAGTTAAGCATAAATGTAAGTGTTAACAATACATACGGTGGATATTTCAGAATTACATTGATTGATATACATTGGAAATTAATTAAAGACGCGATAAATCGACGTTATCACTGCTATAAATCTGTATGATAGTCACTGTGATTTTTGTTTCAATTGGCAGGTTCTGGCAATGGTCGGGCTGTACCCAACTGTCAAAGTTACCCATGTTTGATCTTTGAGGACAATTTCGACACGCTGGACTTGGAGACATGGGAACACGAGATCACTGCATCAGGTGGAGGGGTGAGTACATTGAGTCTCAGCGCACGCTTACATCAATAAGAAAACCACGTAGAAGGATTAACCCTCCGATTCCATGATTTTGTGATAATGGGTGAAAGGATGAGTGTCTATAAGGTCCTTTTTTCGGGCCCCGGTATATTCTAGTTTTCACCTCCTCATTTTGTTCAAAGGTGTCCTATTGTATGACATACGGAAAAACTAAGGTAAAACTTTGACCGAAAGTGGGTTTTTGGGATACCAAAAGGGGTAGGGTAAATCACAAATATGATTTGCTGTTTTCAAAGTGAATTTAAAAACCAAAATAATATAATTTCTTTTTTTGAAACATGTGTAAATTAAACAGGCATATGTAAAATAATGAAACATGACAGAATTTCAATCTTCACTTAAAGATTGTTTATATAAAACGAAGGATTAAGACAGTGGGTTGTTTTAGGTAATTTTCAAATGAAAAGTGTTTTGATTTCTAAATAAGTTCCTTTCCTATTTATATTTTGACTTGAAATTTACAACTCATATAAGTAGACTTTCATAAATTGCATATTCACTATATACTTTCCTTCTCTTTATACTTAGTTATGGCCTCTGGACACATCTCAATCTTGGCTTTTTCAAATATCTCTCAATCTTAAGTGAATTAAAAGGTGCAGGAAACCCTTTATATGCTATAAGTATAAGATATCAATTGTTAGTATTGTATATTATATATATCATATAATATTTGCTCAACACCTGTGGCTGAAGTGACTTGAAGTCGCTGATTTGGTTTTTTTTACTTATCAAAGTTAACTTACAAATCAAAAATGATTTCTTTGATATATGAGGTTTGATTTGCTGGTAATTTTAAGTCACCTAGCCTCAAGGAAAGTATCTGCTTTAATAGTTAAAGTTAACCGATTTCATTGTTTTATCCAATATTCTGCCTATTTCCAATGTTTATCCGCTGATTGTACATAAAAGGCATTTGGGGATAAGCATATAACTTGGCATATATATTAGTTAAATGATGAAATTTAATTTGTGAAAGTTTTATACTTACATCCCACAATGCCTTTTTACTTAAAAAACACTTTTTCTTGTGATTTGGAGTACAAGGACACAAGTGCATCTCCTTGCATAACATCAAATATTTCCTGACAATACTAGTCTATATGAATGTATGTAGATTAAACAGGCTCAGTAGAGTGTTTAAAGTAGTCAAAGGGGCGTTTGACAAGCTACACTGACCAACATTCAGATAGTTTATGCTTTGAAAACGCCAAGAGAGACTAAATTGTTCGTGCAAGTTATATATTAATGCTTGCAATTAACAGTTAATCCGGCTGTTGATTTCATACGGTTTATTTGTTACATTCAATACCTACAATAGGACATCTTTGAACAAAATAAGGAGGTGAAAATCCGAATATACCGGGGCCCAAAAAAGGGCCTTATAGACACTCATCCTTTCCATGTTTACGTTTGTCCACCGGTTGGCATACATCTTACGAGTGCAACGTATTAACAGCACTAGTTTAAGAAGTGCTAACGTTAAAATTGCGTTTCTAATTAATATGATAGCTATTTTACTGCTTGAATTCAATTAAATGATTTTCCTAATCCTTTCACAGAACTGGGAGTTCGAGTACTATCTAAACAACCGATCTAACAGTTACGTCAGAGATGGGGTGCTGTACATCAAACCGGTAGGTAATGACGTCACCACATAGGTATGGGGTGTTGTACATCAACACGGTAGGTAATGACGTCACCACATAGGGATGGTGTGTTGTACATCAAAATGGAAGGTACTGACGTTGCCACTTGCGGATGGAGTGTTGAACATCAACCCGGTAGATAATGACGTCACCACATAGGGATGGAGTTTTATACCTCAAACCAATATGTAATGACGTCACCACAAAGGGATGGAGTGTTGTACTTCAAACCGGTAGATAATGACGTCAATATATAAAGATTGAATTTATACATCAAACTGGTGTGATATGACGTCAACATAATAGGGATGGAGTGTAATATAGCAAACCGGTATGTAATGACGTCACCACATAGGGATATAATATATGAATCCCTAGATTCTCAATAGAAATCAGCGTGGCCATGCCAGAATCCGATAGGGATTAATATTTTATGGACACTCACTTTTTTGTAGTTTCTAATTGATGTTTACAGAATTGTTGTTGATGTGAAGTTCTGCTTTATATACATTTTTGAATCAATTAGTAAGTCTGTTTCCGTATTATAGACTCTTACCACGGATCGTTTTGGGCCTGATTCCCTGACGAAAGGCTCACTCGATTTATGGGGTACGTATCGTCTGTGATTACATTTCAATTATATAAATATCAAGTTATTTGTTTTACAACAATCATTTAACAAGTCATTTCACTTCTTTTAATCACTATTGTTTGCCCGGATGTTACCGCAAGAGATTGAGGTGGTCTTAATGTGGGAGGAAACCGGAGCACCCGAAAAACTCCCACGTGGCCGGGCATGTGACCTCATACCTTTTAACCTTCGATCGGGGGATTAAACTCCGGTCGCCCTTGTGAAAGGCGAGTGCATTATCCGCTGTGTCACCCGACAACCCATTGTAGAAATGCCGTGTTCATACCACTATTTACCCCTTGTATGACCCATATATCCATGTGTGTGTTATGTTTGTATACACTGTACTACACGTGTTCTACCCGTTATGGGTCCATGTTTCCAATAACTCTATATAGCTTATAGAGAACGATCATACCTGAATTAAATGGATTCTCACTACAGACGCTGTTGTTTTTCAAAAGGGATTTTAATGACATGATAGTTAGTAATCACAGTAATGTACATGTAGTCACATGTTTAAAAAAAAACCATGTGACTACATACCAATGAGGTGTCAAAACACGTAATAAAGATAAAAAAGAAACTCTTCTCAGTGAGTAGGCAACCGTATTTAAACTAACTTTTATCTTATAGTTAAATGTTGGTTTCATACATTTGTTTCTCTCATTTCCCTGTTTGTAAGATAGAGCTGTCCAGTGTAAGAAAGGAGTGAAGGACATTTCTTTCTCTTACCCTGGACAGGTGTATCCGCACTTTTACCTCGTGTTTGGCAACTTAAGAATCTTCCCCCCTCGGGTTGAGATTCCCCTATCTCACCCCTTATATTAATATTAGACCCCATTTCACGTGACGTGACGTCACAATGGCTCAACAATGACGTGATGTCACAAATTTGGAACTCTCCGATGTTGCAATGCGGAAAGGCGACGTGATGAAATTAAAACCTTTTACTTTATATTTACCGTACACGTTAGAAAGATGTGATTAAACTTTCTGCCCTAACGTTGTTTGCATAGATGGGATATGCTTAATCTGGCTGGTTGTTTCGTTTTCGTCTAAAAAACTCAGGGGAAAAATTGATATTTTCAAAATGGTGGCCAGTCCAAACGCATTTTCATTGTTTTTGGGCTTATTGTGGTGGTTGGAATTAGAGAAAAATAATAATATGACTCGGGCATGGCCTGGAGAAAGCGAAGCTCGTACATTTGTTTCGATAGTATAGTATAATTTTTGAATCATAACATTACCCATTTAAATACATACAAAATGTAACCGATTTTTTTTTTTATAATATACTTGAATCTGTTGCTGGGCAAAATCATTCATTTTGAAAACGGGCATTGCCTGAAACGAGCGAAGCGTCTAAATGCTGTTTTTTTTAATCTTATTTTCTAAATAACATTATTTAAAATAATATCTATTTATTCGTTTTATAGCGATTAAGTAATTAATGTAAAACTAATAATAAGTAAAGAAAAACATTCGAATGAATAATGCAGTTCAAGAGAAAACACAATTGCATTTGGTACTGTTGCATTTAATTGCCCCGTCTATAGCCTAAAAGCTAATGCGATTGTCCTTTTTCTGAAAATGTAACAAAATGCTGCTTCAGAAATACCCTACCGAAAAGTGACGTCGTGTACATTGATTCATTCATTCTCCGTAGGCGGTACCCCTGGAGACACGTGCACTAGTGCCGCGTTTTATGGCTGTAAACGTGACGGTACTGGCACTCACCCTATAAACCCTATTCAGTCGGCACGACTCCGGAGCTCGAGAGGGTTCAGCTTTAAGTATGGAAAGATCGAAGTCGAAGCCAAAATGCCAGCAGGCGACTGGATCTGGCCAGGTAAAATCGTACTGCAATATCCGAGTATCATTTTAATGACAAAATCTTTCAATTTTGTTTATTGTAACTTTCTGTACTTACATGAGTTATTGAATCTTCATTTAAGCCATATGGATGTTGCCTCTCAGAAATGCCTACGGACAATGGCCAGCGTCAGGAGAAATCGATATTGTGGAGAGTCGAGGTAAGGAGGTGTTTACAGACTTCTTCATAGGGTTTGAACGAACAAACGGGAATAACTCTTACCGCTGATTTTGATAGTTTTCATTAACAAATCGATCTAAAAAGCAGCCAAATTGTTTTAATAAGAAACAATTTTTTGCTTTGGTATCCATCCTTATCTGTTTGCATAAAAAAATCTTAACATCAAAATTAATGTTGCAGTGTAGAGTACATACTGTTTGTGTTATACATATCTTTTACATAGCATCTGTAAACATCAAACTTCAAATATTATTAATGAAGTGAGGGAACTCTCTCATATCGCACCTCTGAATCGGTTCTTAACATGTTTTAGAAATGACATTTATTCCAGGATAACTTTTGGTTAAAGAATTGTTGGTCCTCTTCATAGTTAGGGTTAGTTTGCTCGGATGTGAAAGGAACGAGAGGAGAAGTCGCCATTATTCTTTGAAAGATACAACTGTTGTATTACTTTGGTCAACTTATATTTTAATTCTAGTAACATTGAATACAGGCATAATAACTTGTTGCAATGGAACAGTTACATAAGATTTTTATCAATTTGCTCAGGAAACCGTCACTACACAGCTCCAGATGGTACTCACAAAGGCGTGGACTCTTTCGGAAGTACCCTCCATTTTGGACCAAGTATTCTGGACAAATCCTATGACCCATGGCAGACAGCACACGTTGAAAAGTAATTCTTCAGAATGATTTGTATAAATGTTACAAGGAAAGTATTTCAGGGCAATGGCATATGCATAATTACATCAATTAGATATTAGGGGCATTGGCAATAGTTTCTATCAGCATCGCTTCATCGTAATTGTGCTGACAAGATATGATTAATGAGGGGAAGGAACTCTATAGCTCAATCTTAACATTAGGATAGCTGTCATCAGTCTGTATGTTACATGAATTGTTGCATCGTATGTTATACCATACTATTGCAGAACTTTGTCCCAAGGCACGCTTGCTGACGACTTCCACAAGTATGGAGTAGAATGGACGGAAGACCACATAAAGTAAGTGATGTATATCTAAGTTTTATTGATAAATTACGTCTAACTTGTATACACATTTCTAGATTTTAACAACTGTACATATCTATGTAAAGTGCCCATCCTTGGTTGTCACCCGAATTGGTCCCATTTTGTATTTTAATTTCAAAAGAAAATGATGTTTGAGGTATTTTAAGAACGGTTACAAGATGCAGCATAGTTTGTTTTATTCGTAATGGTAATAACCAGACACCTTCGAATTCGTTAGACTGTAAAGTACGTGTTCATCTCTACGAGGAACAATGTTTTGGCTAATGATTTTTAAAGCGATGATAAGATATTTTCATTCAGTGTATTTTATGGTGGGTAGGTAGAATAACGCTCCTGAGGGGATTTTGAATTGTTAAAACCTGAGGCTGCTGGGTGTTTTTTTACTTACATGGATAAATAAATAGCTCTCCAGAGTTACTTCCCTTTGTTTTTGTACATGTTTCCATTCATGGGAATCAGCCCAAGTAAGATAAAACTACTATATATCGTACATGGGAACAACTACCAGCCTAGCAACGGTTCGTTTAACCAGCGTCACGGTAGGTCGGCATGGTCACAGGCGCATTTGGAACGTAGGCCCAACGTTAGCCGTCGTTTACTCAATGCTTAGATCCAACGTCGCGCCAACTTAACTGCGTTTTTGGACAAACGTATGTCGGCCTAACGTAGGTGTCCGTTGTCGGGCCAACGTTTGACCAATGTCTGACTGCTAGTTGAGTACGGGATAAGATTTGCGAGAAAAACGTTTTGATCCAACCGGTAGATATTGCATCTTTTTTTAGTTTCAAGGTTACATACATGTGATACAATATATAGTATTTGTTCGATATTTACTCTAAAAATGTTTTCTGATCTTGGTCATGTAAGTCTATTTTTAATTCTACCGTATCATTGTATAAATAGGTTCCTGTTTGATGGTCAGGAGACATTAACAGTTGCACCTCCTGCCCAGGGTGGCTTTTGGAAACACGGAAATCTAGACAAAACAGGATTTGAGAACCCGTATAGAAACACGAGCAAAATAGCCCCCTTTGATCAAAAGGTAGGTAAAACCAATCTTTACACTGTACATTTAGTTGTTTTTTATACACTGATAGAAAATAAAAATGTAAGATGGACCTAAATCAGCGATTTGGGTAGACACTATATCTACTTAAATTGGTAAGTCGGGGAAACACTGGAGTAAATGGTGAATAACGGTTATGTTTAAGATGTTTTTCACGGGTATATAACATGAAAATTAATAGTCAATTAACGGATGAAACAGTTCTGTTATTCATTAATATATCAGGAATGGTTTGTCTATTATGTATTTAAAAATACATGTACAAAGGCTTCCGAGTACGGGAAGTCCATCTACTAGAAAGGATGTTATGTCATAAAATAAGAATGGTATAGCAAGCAGGATACCCAGTCCAGTCATATTCCAGCATCGAACTAACAAGAAATGTCTAGTAACATGACATACATGAAAAAAAAAATGTAAATTGAGAGGAGGTTCTTAGTATGTTATTTTTTTTTGTTCCTCAGATTTATGGGGGAAATAAATAGTTGAAAATCTATACTGGCGATGTATTTTGTCTACTCGTGAACGTTATAAAGGAGGAAGGGTGAAGTTAAAAAGGGGCAAATTATGGTATCATAATTAGAAATTTATAGAGAAACAGAAAAGCGATTCTTTATATTTCAAAATATTTAATTGTTCGGTAGAGTTTTGATAGCTTTGTGTTATATACTTCAGTTTTACCTGATCATGAACGTAGCTGTAGGAGGCGTGGGCTACTTTGATGATACACTAAGTAACTCTCCAACTCCTAAACCCTGGCACGACCATAGTGACTTCACCACGCGAGACTTCCTCAACGCTAAGAACCAATGGTACCCTACCTGGAACCCCACAGAGAGGAACGGCGAGGACGCCGCCATGAAGGTCAACTACATAAAGGTGTGGAAGCTTAGTCCGTGATGATCGAGAAAAACTGGACTTTGTTTTGTAACATTTTGTATACACGGAATATGTGTAAGCTACTGTATCTATGTCTGATGTATACATATAAAATGAATAAGTAAATAAATGTCAACTTGTCTAATCCTTAAGTGTTGCATTACTTTTAGCAAGTTCACAACTATATATTTGTTGTATTGCTTCTTTTCTGGAAATTCAAACAATGTGAAAGTATATATTTTAGAGCGTTTTGCACAAATTGAAAATCCTGTATATTACGTATTTTGTGAGTGCGTGAATTCACCAATGCCCTTTCTGTTCAAATCCATGAATGTGCTAAAATTAATACGTTTACAGTCAATGTGCTTTGAAATACGCGTAAGTAATTTTATAGAATATTACATCGAAGCATGCAGTGTAGCGGACACCTGAACACTGCCGTGATGACCAGACTGAAAGGAACATACAATTTGTTGTCTTATTGACGAAGGTTAATGCTTTGTTTCTACTGCTCATGTATGTCCTTTCCTACCAAATGTGCACTTACCATTATCAATTTATATTTTCTATAAATATCAGATGATGTTACCTATGACAACCAACACGAAGTCACTGATTCCGTTTGCTTCAAACAATACGGTCATTTAGGTGCATTCGATTTGCACACTACCTCACGTCAAGTCAAAATGCCGTGCTGTCCTCACAAAACATACATGTCGTGTCATATCTAATACAGCAAATACACAAACTTCTGTGTGCTGTATTTTGTGTATGTTAACGTATTCCGTCTTTGCATATTGCAGAGTTATCTTCTCTTGGGAGCAGGTATTGATTGTTACGTCATTTGTTTGTGAGAGTAACGACATCAATTTTTGAGAAAACGACGTAATTTTCTCACACAAACCAATGACGTAACAATCAATACCTGCTCTCAAGAGCAGATAGCTATGCAATACGCAAAGACGGAATAGAAAAGGCATACACACTGGATTATCAAAAACACTGGTGAAATATCACGTTCTGTTATCAGGTTCGGATTTCTAACAATAGAATTTCAGTGTCTGTTATGACTAAAGAAAAGTTCACTCTGTAGTAGAAAGCTGTGTTTTAGAGGACATCATTACGAGTAGCTTGACACTCTTGCTCCTCATGATTATCACCGGCTTTATATTTATTTATGCTGGTATGTCTTTTTCCCATAGAGTTGTATCCGTCCTATTGTGTCTATGCTTTACTTGGTTAATGTAACGTCGTGTGGAACATGAGTTATAATTTGATCCTGTGTTGGCGTTAGTGCCCTTTTTTCCTGTTCATAGTTATAAAGAAAAACGTGAAACTGTAGTGTGATAATGAAATGATGTCCATATTATTAGCATTGAAAATAATAAACACGAGACATAAAATGTTCCTATGTAAATTGCAGACATTGCTTGACCTTTGTGTCATAAACGATTGATAAACTTGACACAAAATTTGCGACTTGTGATTCTAAAAACCCTAAAACCTTTTAAAGCAATATACAGCTATTTATATTCAAAATAAAAACCAAACAAATCAAACGATAACAATATCTAATGATTTATTGGAAACATTGAATGATTATGCTATATGCCGTTACACCTGTAAAACATTGCCCTGGTCCCTACGCCTTCGCGAACTTCACCACAGCTACCACAGAACCAAACGCCATTTTCTGAAAAGAGAAATAATCCTCAGGTAAACCTGTGCTAATTGATAGTACCTGTACAATGTGGTACTTGATAGTACGCTAAAAATTAATACATCAATACAGTTAGAGTATTACCAATATAGCCACAACCAATTAGAATTATCTCCCTTCGTTCGTAGTAATGTGATGTTAGAGTAAAGAAAAAGGCAACAAAAATGCTTCAAGTTGAAAGCGAGTCTAGTTTATTTAAACTGTATCAATTACGCAATTTTCCTACGTCGATAAAAATACTATTATTTGTTTATTTGTGAATGTTCTGACGCACAAAATACTTTGAATCATTATAAGAACGTTAGTATATCGCAGAACAAATGCGTTTAGATTACCTTTTAAGGGACTATTATGTGTGGTTATTAAACCCTGACTTTACAAAAAGTTCAAACTTTGCGGTTTGGGGACAAAGGTTTTCCCTAATATATAGTACATTTACAAAATATTTCTCGACATTGATGACAACAAGATGATATTCAATCTAAAATTAGCTTAGCCATCATTATAATGCATACAAGTGTCAATGACCTTTTACAAACCCTACACACTTACCGAGACTAGCTCGTTTCCCGCCACTTCTCTCGTGATGACGACCTTCACATCTCCGGCCGTCTGCACCTCTGTCATTTTATCACCCTCCATAGTTACAATGCACTGTAATAACAATAAGAGTCAATTACGTGTTGCTTTGTCTATAACGACTGCGCACAAGTTGAGTCTAGTTTGAGCTGGTATGAACTCATTCGCCCCTTAAGTTTCGAAATGAATTTTTCCAACCCTTAAATAGGAAGAGTTCAAATGTGTCTTCAGGGGTGAATGAGTTGAGCACACACCATAAACATACTCTATCTAGGGTTTAAAAACCCAAACACAACGAGTACTCAGTGTCATGGTGTAACGAAAGAGTAAAAACAGGTGTTATTGTCAAGTTCAGAAAACCATTACCTGAGGTTAAAAATCCAAGTACAGAGGGCTATGAGCCCAATTATTATGTACGAAATTGTAATAATTTAATTTTGCCTATCTCCCCCATAATATTGTTTTTGGTATATATCGTATATACCTAAAAAGAAAAACAACTGATGACGGAACTACTTTTTACACTTCAGAATGCAAAATTACAACGCAGCTTTTTTTTAGCGCAATTGTTTAGTTTACGTAAAAATTAAATAACTCTTTAACTGTGCATTTACAACGTGTTTGTCTACTTTTTTTAAATTAAATTATAAAGAGTGCCCAAGATTTGGTTTTGGTATATATGGTATATACCGAAATAAATTGTGCACTTTTTTGCATAAAACGCTTCGCGGATTTATGCAAATTGCACAATATTTTTTCGGTATATACCGTATATACCAAAACATAATCTTGGTCATTCCTTGAATAACAAATTTTATTGTCATACTTATAGTCCAGGAACAAATATTACCCTAGGTTAAACATCTAAACACAGCGAGTTATCAGCACAACTAATATGTACGAAATAGTAATAATAAATGTTATTATCATACTCTTAGTCAAGAAAGAAATACTACCTTAGGTTAAACAATTATATAACGAAAAAATAATGACAGGTCTTATATTTAAAATATGTTGTTAAACTGTACCTTGAGATTTTGACCAGTTAGGGACTTTGATTCGAACTCTTCTCCGATCTTGAAGGTCGTGTCCTTGACCGTTTCACCGACGGTTGTCTTGATGGACCAGCTGTCCCCAGACTGAACAATATCCATGGAAGGTTTGCTGTTCCGAGCTACCTCACGCAGAGCTTCCGGGACACCTACGATTAAAAAAGGGAGAGATACGGTTATAAGTCACATCTAATACATATTTGCCAGAGAATGTGAAACCAGTATCAGATTAATCATAATTGTTTGAAGCGAAAGTTGTTTATACAATCAAATATGAGTTCAACTTTCCGGTCATTTTGACTTAATAATTGAAAGCATTACTAATAATAACTAAGGCAAGTCAGCAAGTAATACATGTCTAAATATTTATTGAATTGAAATCTAGCGAAATAAATCCTTTTTCATATTATAGTCATATCAGTTATAAAAGGGGGTTTAATGCAGCCACACTCATCTTTGCAAATCTTTCAGCTGGTTCAGAAATGTTGTTTGAAACGTTACAATCGTGTACGTCATTTTACCATGGTTACATGTTGATTGTCACTCTTACGAAAATGTCATTTTTCATAAATCTTTAACTATCTCAATAATGTACATTTGACATTTTAAACAGATATAAAGGACATACGACGTACACCTAGAGACACACAAGGAACATATAAGCAAGTGAACCTACTGAAACACCCTGAACAGGCACACTTAAACCCCCCTGACGCATAATGAAATTTGTGCAGTATGACAGAAAAAAAAGCCACGCAAAGAATAATTCGGAGAGTGGAACCGCAAACAAAAAACACGTTACACTGCACTTTGCGACTCTGGTTTGAATACCAGTATGGTATTCCAGCATACCCTACGTCACTCCTATATTATCTTTTCATCTGTTTACTTTAATTTCTAAATAATTAAATGCGTAAACAGGCCTGGGTTATCCATGTGATACAGAGAAAAGTGAATAATTCGAGTTTGAGAAAAGAGTGTATAATTATCTTTATTTACAAGTAACAACTCTACTGTCTGTTTTACTCAGACCTATGGACCGCAACTATTTTTTCCCAAATCCACAAAAATATTTTGACAATGGATCACGCAATGCCGTGTCAGACGACCGCTCCTTCGCAACCGGGTTTTAGCATTTCCTCTTCTTCACCATCGTCGTTTTGCTCCTTCATCTTACTTGCTCGTTCGCCTATCTTATTTATTGTCGTATTTCCGCCACCTGTATCGTGGCCATAAGAAACTTCCATATGTCAGAACACTCACCAGGTGCTGATTAGACCATGATTGGAGACAGACACACACTTATTGATCGTATACATGTGTTAGGTGTTACTCTTTGAACCTGTTGTGTAATAACAAACGTGATATTTCTGTACTCGACAGGTGCCCACCTGTCCCGTGCATTGGATAATTAGATTGTGGGATGATGACGGGAATGGTGTTTGTAAAAGGAGTAACGAGATTTACTTGTTTTTATTGATCATGTAACCACTTACAAGGAACATTGCTCAGAGCAACAAGGAACGGGGTCCTTTCAAAGTCTGCTCTGACAGTGTCACGATTTGCTTCCTGCCTGCTGACTTTTAATTACTTCCAAAGTGTACCCGAGATTATTCGATAGAACAACAGTCTAAAACATTATGTTTGTGTAATATTCCACAGAACAACAGCCTAAGCATGATTTATAAACCTGCCTATACAATTGCTCATACATTCGAGTGTCACGGCATCAACACTCGGAATATAAGCAATATCAGATATAGTTGAACGGACGTGAACATATCTACAAATTCCCGTCAGCCACATTGGAAGACCACACCGCTGAAATTTCTAAAATGTGCAATAACCTTCAATTACACATCTTAACAATCGAACAAAAATAAGAAAATGTTCGGTGATGTGCACAAATCTTATGTAATTTCTGCAAGTATATTTGTATTTACTGTACATCCAAGTCGAAATGGTTATTTTTTTTTTACTTTTCGAGTGGATTACAACCGAATCGTTGCCCAACATGGCCTTTGTCTATGTAAAGTTGGTGTTTACCAATGAAAAACAACTTTATAATATATTCCACAAAAAAGATGTCATGGAAAGAGACCAAATGTTGATGCCCACACTGTATACTCAACAGATACAATGACCATCCTGCCGTGAGTTTTTATCACCGCTGGTTCATGTAGTTATTTCTCCTGTGTTACTTGTCAGGTACTGGGGATAATTAGAAATAACACTCTCGCATTAACACAAATGTATACTCGAATCTAAGCTCGACCCATTCAATAAACATCTGGCAGCTATTTTGACGTTTATTTACAGTTGTCCTGAAACGGACGGCCAACAACGAGCGTTCCTGTGTTACTGACACCTAGTTATACACAGATACAGAACCTGGTTGATAGATTGACGTGTACATGTATGCATAGTGGACTGTGTTTTGAAGAACCTCATCCCAAACAGGATATTGACATGTACAAGCACAAACCAGTCACCTATATCTACTGCTATGTAAACCGGCTGCATACGTTTTTGTTTTTACTTTTACTAGTATCAGCTTTGATGATAAACATGGTTTTACATTTATATTTCGTGTCAAGCACAATGGTCCGAAAAGTAATATTTACGCGTATGTGAACAAATGAACGTTATGTAAGTTAAAGTTTGAAATTAGGTTGCAACATTTGTTCTTTGCGGTGTGTATACAAAAAGCGACTAGGACAAAAAAGGTAGTCTTTATACCGTTTGCATGTTCCTTTGGTTCTAACCTGGATGGACATTTTAAGAGCCCGGTTTCATCAATGCATAATCATAACTTTGGAATGTATGTTTCAAAGTTCTTAACAAAACTTGAGCAGGAAACAAATTTTACGCTTGAACTGTAATATTATTATCCATTTCACACTAAACATAAGAAGGCGCCAAAGAAATCATAGATCTTTGCTTCACAAAGTTGTTATTTAGTGTAATATATTGAAATTCTGATGGACAGGGATCAAATTGTTTTTATAGCGTTACGAAATTATATTAATGGTTCGTAAGTAAAAGTAGTCTATAGAGTTTATCAATGGAACATCATCTTGTCATTCACAATTATTATAATGTTATTGTTTGTAAGCACTTAATTATTGTGATAAAAGTGGAACTATTTTGTAAAGGAAATTCACGTTACAGTAATGTAACTAGACTAGCTACCAGCCCTAAGTTTTTATGAAGAATTTCTCAGCTGCATTTTACTACTACCTTATCTCCCCCTAGTTATGAACTCTAGAATCAGACATCCAAGTGATCAACATTTTTTGAGTTAAACTTTTTTCTTAATACTTCAATATTCTAGAGACAGTGGCCAGTCTATAAGGTAACGTTAATCTTTATAACAGGTCATAGAAATCGTCAATGGTATGTCCCTCCATGCATGCAATTTCAGTTTACATGATTGAAATAGTTCATCACAATCATAAACATCCAAACAAGTATTAACATCACCGAACACCAGGAGCACAACAAAAACAACAGCACGTACATACACTAAAGCACGAGCATAAATATAGACAACAGCACGTGTATACACTGAAGTACGAACATACATATAGACAACAGCACGAACATACACTAAAGCACGAGCATACGTATAGACAACAGCACGAACATACACTAAAACACGAACATACATATAGACAACAGCACGTGTATACACTAAAGTACGAACATACGTATAGACAACAGCAAGTGCATACACTAAAGCACGAGCATAAATACAGACAACAGCAAGTGAATACACTAAAGCACGAGCATAAATATAGATAACAGCACGTGCATACACTTAAGCACGAGCATACATATAGACAACAGCCCGTACATACACTAAAGTACGAGCATACATATACACAACAGCACGAACATACACTAAAGTGAAGTACGAACATACATATAGACAACAGAACGAACATACACTAAAGCACGAGCAGACATATAGACAACAGCACGTACATACACTAAAGTACGAGCAAACATATAGACAACAGCAAGTGCATACACTAACGCACGAGCATACATATAGACAACAGAAAGTGCATACACTAAAGCACGAGCATCAATACAGAAAACAGCAAGTGCATACACTAAAGCAAGAGCATACATATAGACAACAGCAAGAACATACACTAAAGCACGAGCATAAATACAGACAACAGCAAGTGCATACACTAACGCACGAGCATACATATAGACAACAGCCCGTACATACACTAAAGTACGAGCATACATATACACAACAGCACGAACATACACTAAAGAACGAGCATACATATAGACAACAGCACCAACATACACTAAAGCACGAGCATACGAATAGACAACAGCACGAACATACACTAAGGCACGAGCATACGTATAGACAACAGCACGAACATACACTAAGGCACGAGCATACGTATAGACAACAGCACGAACATACACCAAAGCACGAGCATACATATAAACAACAGCAAGTGCATACACTAAAGTACGAACATCCATATAGACAACAGCAAGTGCATACACTAACGCACGAGCATACATATAGACAACAGAAAGTGCATACACTAAAGCACGAGCATGCATATAGATAACAGCACGTGCATACACTAAAGCATAACATAAATATAGACAACAGCAAGTGCATACACTAAGGCACGAGCATACATGTAGACAACAGCACTTGCATACAATAAAAGCACGAGCATAAATATAGACAACAACACGTACATACACTAAAGCACGAGCATAAATACAGAAAACAGCAAGAGCATACACTAAAGCACGAGCATACATATAGATAACAGCACGAGCATACACTAAAGCACGAGCATACATGTAGAGAACAGCACGTGCATACAATAAAAGCACGAGCATAAATAGTAGACAACAGCACGTGCATACACTAAAGCAAGAGCATACATGTAGACAACAGCACGTGCATACAACAAAAGCACGAGCATAAATATAGACAACAGAAAGTGCATACACTAAAGCACGAGCATCAATACAGAAAACAGCAAGTGCATACACTGAAGCACGAGCATACATATAGATAACAGCACGAGCATACACTAAAGCACGAGCATACATGTAGACAAGCACGAACATACACTAAAGCACGAACATACATATA